AGACACACATAAAGAGTACATTTGCCCTTCCTATGCGTCTCCTCCACCGTCAAATCCACTTTTCCTTCCCATCCTCTCCTTTTAAGAAAAGGGTGGAAAGGGAAAGGGACTAAAATTAGGCCTCCATTGTATTCTCAAAATAAAACTGTTTATATGCTATTTATGGTAAAGTTAACATAGGAACATTTCTATTTCTAACGTATAATAAATAGGTCTGAAAAATATTGTATTTTTGTGTTTCTATATGCGTAGGTGCCGTCGAAATTCGGTTAAGTAGTTACGTAGTTTTTAAGCGCAGCTTTAGTTGTAACTACATAGAAATTTGTAAATCACTTGTATGTAAAAAATGTTCACGAGGTAATGTGTATTGCAAATATAATTCTGTAGGTCTGTGAGCCACGTCCGTCCCGCCGGTGCTGGATCAACCGCAAATCATTGAATAATCAGTAACCTTGTAGCTATTGTAATAAGGTTTATTTTGATTTATCTTTTGGTTTACTTAACAATCTCCCAGTTATAAAGAAACATGTAATATTTTTTAATTTACTTTCACGACCTAGTTTTTATATTTGAAAATGAAAAATGATGTATCAAATTTTTAAGTTGAACTATTCGGATAATTGAAAGAACTGATAAATTAAAAAAAAATGTACTTAACTTATATATTACCAATGTATTCGACGTTAACAATGTAAATACGAAAAACATGTTAGTCCTTTTAAGGGAATGAATTACGAAGAAAACAACTTTGTTTATGATATTGTTACGTCACATCTGCAATTCACCTCGTGTTTTTTAACAGATTTTCTTTTTTTTTTTTCTTTTCAAAAAAAAATTTACCCCTTTGTGATAGGCTTTTCATATGCTATTATTTTCATCTCCAATTTATCAAGACTTAGTAACCTTAGTAAATTTAAAACATAAATTTAAGACATTGCTATATCCAAAAAAGTACAAGGTTGTTGAGATTCCAACGATAATTTGCACAATAATTAAATTCGCAAGCATTTGATAGAAAAAAACTTAGCATACTCGCCTCGCCTTTTAGCGCGTAATAAATAATATTTTTTAAACCTTCACACTTACTGAATGCTACAACTGCAAAAAAACGTACAAGTTGTAATGACGCGTGTAAAAATCATTAAACAATACATGTTACTGCACCTTTTAACATTTGAACTGAAACTTGTTTTATATTCAAAAGACTTACCTTGCCAATATTCTATTATTCAATCACGCCTTTAACTTCAATGAGTTGCCAAAAATCACGGTTACCTGTTACCTCATACCTTGAGCTTATCATATTTGCAAAAACATCGGGATTACAAGGAAAAAATTGCAATATCGTTCGTGATTTTTTAATATCTATTCACTCACTAAAGCACAGTAAAATCCTCAGAATTAATTTTGAATAACTGTCCATTATTTGTTTATCTACATTTTTTTACTTTAAAGAGGTATATTTAAAAAAAACAGCTTTACGTTAGTTATTTATAATTACTGACTAAAATTCAATTGGCGGAATCATAAAGAATATGTTACATGTTTTTGCCTTTTCAAACTTATCTCTCTAATTTATAAAGAAAATTCATTTTATTTTATATTTTAATAAAAACAACGCAAAAACAAGCCAGTTCTAGAAATTTTATTATAATTATTTTATGAACTTGAGATGGAATTCTTAATACAATGTGATAGAAAATCACGAGGTGAATTGCGTACTATGACATTCGATTATTGGTTACTAAGCAGTCTTTTAGTGTAGCTTTTTCATACTTATAATTAAGGGCCTGTCCCACCACTGGCTGATAAAGACTCAGATAGCTTAATTACGTCACTGTCAGATAAGGGAACAAAATGCGATAATTCCATCACAAATTTCACACGTTGGGTTATCAGACAATTTACAATTTGGTGCGACAGGCTCTTAGTCTCTCTGCCTTACAAATAAATGCGGTAAAAAGTAACATTTAAAACAAAACTAAAATTTGTACTAATATTTGCTTATATTCAGTTTATTCCTAAGTTTAACTTTATACCGCGTTTTTTTGTAAGGCTGTCTGAATTTTGTTAGCAAGTCAATTATAAAGCTTGTAGTGCCATTAAGATTCTCTATATAGTATTTAAGCCTCGAGTAAATTACGTTGTCATGTAGTTTGCTTGCTAGGTAAATGTAAATACATCTCACGCTACTTATTAAGTTATTTTACTACATTCCTAAGTTATAGCTAAGTAAGTTCTAAAATCAAAGAAGCTTTAATGTTTAGTTTATATAAAAATTATTAAGACATTTCACAGTATTGTATATGTCTGTAATTTTACTTAATTTTTATCAGAACGACTTTTGTATTTTCAATCTTTTTTTTGTATAACTTTCAAGTGATCAAATGATTTTGTTTTTTTACTTTTAATTTCTTTTATTTCTGATTTTATATACATTATACATTTTGTATAATGATATTAAAAAATAGATAAATTTAGTACTCTGTAAATATATCGTCAAATTGATGAATTGTATAATAATGAAATTGTATCAAGCGATTGGTATTATTTAAAATATTTAGGTACTATTAATGTCAAATCGTACGTTATGTACATATAGTATGTACAACATAGAACGTAAGTATATAAGTGATGTAGTTTTTGTATTAAGCAAACATTGGCCATCGGTACCTAAATAAAATACAATGTTAATAATGATTTTTATTTCTTTCCCTATTAAAATGCAAATAATTCTGTAACCTAATAGTAAACATCCAATATCTAATAACTCCTACATTTAAAAGCAGATAAAAATCCCCCATTAGTCACGTTAGAAACATCGCTAGTTGATAAGAGACATTTATTTCCGAAGATAAAATAGCATCCGGATCAACTCTACGACAAGGATACGTGCTCCTGATATATTACGACCATAAATGATCTATAGATTTGGTCCTTATTCCTTTTCAAAGATAAGTCTTATACTTATTCTTATACTTTCTGAGGTCAAATTATTGTAAAACATAGCAACATTATTCAAAACTCACAGATTTGACCGTTAAATGCATGAATTTTTATTTAAATATGACATAAACAGGTCAGTATAAGTTTTGAATCAAAGATTAAGGGAAAAATAATTTAAAAAATCTTGGTTTCATTAAAAACTATACTTTTGTTTGTAGACTTTTGGAAACAATGCATGTAAGGGGTTAAAAGGCTGTAATGTACAGAAGGGCAAACGTAATCTATATGCACTAATGTGGCTTTCAAGTACTGCCTGTATTCGACTATACACTAGCCCAGTTTATATCGACATATTTTTAAATACTATGTTATCCGATTGAAATAATAATAAGCCTTGGGAAAGCATAATGCCGGTTATTGAATACATCGTTTAAAATTTACCATTCTACAAATTTATTCACAATTTTCTTTCCAAGTGAAAACTTCTAAATTTATTATTTACTCGTGACAATCTATTGCCTGTTATAACGGTTCGTTTCCGTTTTATACAATTTAATTGTAAGATAGAGTGATATTATCAGCACGCATAATGTACTAACGAACGTTAATAACCGCCAATCAACGTAATGACAGTTACTATAACTTTTCTGAGTACTGATTTACGTTCAGTACCAGACAGAATCACGAGTTAAGACAACTTAACTGGTATATAACTGTTGCCATTTAAAATATACAAATTTAACATAAATATTTGTAATTTTAACGCACTTAGAATTACTAAATAATTACATTAGATAAAGATTTAAATATCTGGAAACGAAAAGACTTTAACGATTTTTATTGAATTAATCCTCGCTTTGTAGCGTCTCGTTACATACATTTTTCAGTTTTTTAGTCTCTTAGCATATACACTGGTCCGTAACGTGGTTGAAGGTACATTAAAGTTTTTGTATAGATATAGTTTTGTATAGATAATCATATGTAACTAAATCTTTTAAGTGTAGAGTCTTTAGGAACTAGACGTCCTCGTGTATATGAAGTCAACATTTCCATCGTCCATATTAGATATATAGCACACAAGTACTTGTTCTGAGTTTAGAGAAAAGTGTGTATTCATTTTATTAAAAAAAATATATAAAACACATATATTGTAGAAAACTGTGTACGGAATTAAACAGCTCAATAAATTATTCTAGGACAGGGTTTTTGTTACTTTTTAAATGTAAATAAAAATATTACCAAAGTACATTTAGCTGCAAAAAGAATAATTTTATGTAACATTATTAGAGAAGTGTCATGTAACATTTTGAGTTTTTATATGTTAAAAGTTTTATTTAATCAAAAAGAATATATGGAATCTTTAAATGCCAATATTATTTATATAAACGATAAAGTATCGCTGATATTAATAATCTACTAAAATACTAATGGCTTTAGGTATTCATTATTATTGAAAATATTTTTAGTATCGCTTGTTATAATGTAATTATTATTTGGGATTTTCGAATAAAATCTCTTTCATTGGACTTCGAGAGGCGGCACTTGTAAATTGTTGTCTTTTTTTTGTCAAAGAGAAAGAAGGAGATAAAATGTTTATTAACAGAAGGATCACGGCAGTGTAAACCCACAGTTAAAAGGTTGTGAAGTTTTTATATCGCGCTGTCAGGGCGCAAGTCGCAAGCCTGTTTGCACGAGCATCGCACCGTTTGACGTCATGGGGATTTACAGACCTGCTGTTTATGCCGAAAGGTAGCGAAACAAATGAGATTACTCTGAATAGTGGAAATGTTTGTGCTTGCAGTAATAAATTTAATATTAAAAATTTTCCATTTAGATCTAGGAAGCCACTTATAACGCTAGGAAAATTATGACCAAATGGTATAGTGTTGGCTAGTTACGCCAATATAAAACTAAGGTCTCATACTAAAACAATGTAATGATTGTCGCGCGCCATATGCTTGAGTAGTTGTCGAAATAAAAGTCGAGGAAAGGAAATAAGGGGCAATTTGCAATAAACAGCTGACATGCGAGCTACGGCCTTGCCCTTTAACGATCGTATTGTTAAGATAAATGCCACCCTATACGCCAAACCCTCGTAATGAGGTCGGATTAGTGAAGCCAAGGAGCAACGAATCGGCCTGAGTAAATCTTTTTGGTAACCACAAACAGAATGTTGCCGAGATTTAAGGATAATAGACTTCAATGACTTAGTTATCGCTTAGTTATTTGATATCCTTGAAATTTGTGTTCCTATTAGTTTCATCAATGCGCAAGTTAATAAATCATGCGAATGATATACAAAATGTTTTGTTACTAATTATTAGTTTTTTTACATATTATTTTGTCCACTATTCCTTGAAATTACGAATAAAACATTAAATATTGTAAAGTGTACTTATCTTAAAGTGGCCTGACCGCCAGTCGTCGAGATATTCAGTACATGTGAATCATAAGCATTGCATAAAATTAAAGGACAAAATGATTCACACGAGACCTTATTGGATGCTGAACAAAAGAATCATAATTTATTGATAAATGCCCGGCTTTATTTGCATAAATACAGAAAAAATTAAAGCGAAGCCAATGCCAGTTATATCACAAAAAAAAATCTTTGAAGCTTATAGGAATTAACAACATAAATGTTTTATGAGTCTTATAAAAATACTCTTCCTTATTTCAACCTTAAACTATTGATTAAAGCAATCATTTTGAAATCTTTATTGATCATCAATGTCTTTGGTGCATTTATGGTCTCATTAAGCTTCTCATAATATAGAGTTCTACGAATGGTTTAGTCATATTAAAACTAGAAGAGCCTGTGATATAGGGTCAAGGCGTACAGGTAATTTGTTCTTATGAATATCGCATAGTCAATTGTACTTAGAGACATATAATTTACATTAAGGATAGAGCCCTTAGGTAAAAAGATAAAAAGGTGGAAATGATATTTTAATTAAAAATTTACTTTATTGATAGTTTTATAATTATTTAAGGCTATCATAGACGATGTTACTGTGTTAAAAATGTTTCTTATCGAAGAGGTGAAAAGATGTCTTTTTTACAAGACAGAAATTACCGACTTTTGATGAAAAGCGGCCATAAAATAGAGTACAACAAGTAAAAGATAAATTTATAAATGTGAATGTTTAAAAATTGTTTATTTGTTTAATTCCTCATCTTCATACAAATAATATGAAATACATAAAGTGTGCTGAACGAGTATGAAATTGAGAAAGGGATCCACAGACAGGGAAAGTGGTGTGCGCAGTGACGCGCGTTTCTGGGCCACCATCTACCGACGTTGCTTCGCCAGTCTGCCGGAGAGTGCTGAGTCGACAGCGCGCGCGCATCTACCTGTCACAAGCAACATCGCTCCACCACAGTCTAGTTTCACCGGCTATTACTCTCAACCAAGTGCTTTCATATAATTATCACTGTACAATATTATAGTTAATATACAGTACTTTAGTTGATGGTCCTGTGTCAACTTGTGTACGACTTTCGCGTCAAGTAAACATTTCGTGAGTTCGGCTTTTCGAAGTTACCGGAGGCTGTTTGCAGTAGCGAAAGCGGTCGAGCGGGCACGCGGCATCTGTCCGTCTGTGTAGGTGTTCTGCTTGTGTTGTGTTGCAATGGCAATAAGTGTTAAAATGTTGAAATCTGGTTTGTGAAGCTCTCAGTGAATGTGCACATGCCGCTATTCGAAAACGAGCACACGTGCTTATGTAATCCTGAATTTGTTGATAGAACAAGTGAGTATGTTGTATTATTTACCATTTTTTCTTTGATTGAAAGAAAAATTTCTTAGTGATGTTTATTTTATTTTTCTATCGCAGAATAAATTCCTGACTGTCTAGTATTGCTGTGTCTGTTTTTAGATCAGATATTAATAAATAAGTATGGATTATTTATAAAATCCACAAACCCAACTGACTTACCCATGTGACATTCCGAGGAGTTTCGTAACAATATAGCTTTCGCGCCACCGGCAGACACAATAAAATAACAATTTATTTTTTGTTGACGAAAAAGTCATAACATTTATTTAAAAACATTTTTGTGATCATAAAACTGTTTAAGGATCATGATAATGATGATAATCGTAATTATAATAATTATAATCACGATTATTTCGCAGCCGGTACCTACACTACTTTTTTATAATATGTTTTATATTTTTTATGTAAAATGTTTTATAAAGAAAATAAGTAAATTAAAAGATAACTACTAAAGTAATCACGATTAAAATTTTAACGTTATGACGAGTCTGGAGCCTATTTACATTTAACAAACTTAAGTTCAAATTAGAACATATTGTAATTTGATGGATTATTTCTGTTACTCTACTGCGCGTTGTCATTAATCAACAAAAGAGCCGGTTTTTCTTAAGCTTCTTTACACGTACCATAAAAAAAATATTTAAATGAACTCAAACTTTTAAATAGTCTGTAAGCAGTTCATCTTGCGAGCTGGCACCTGTCCAGCTGTCTCTTTGGCGTTGTATACAAATATTTAACGAAGTTTAAGACATCTTATAAGAGGCGCACCTTCAACATTACCCTCGGCAATCGATTAAACTGCGCTATAAAAACTACATCTGTTTCTGTTGATATAAAAATACAACATCCGAGTCTGGTGCCGACTTCATTGAAAAAAATAAACATCCAACATGTCCTTCAAGCGGATAAACGAATTATTGATAAATATTTGTTATCACTGTTTTTTTAGCGTCTGCATGTTTTTTTTTATAATACATGGTAGCAAACGAGCATGCGGCCACCTGAATCCACCGAAATGAAAAGCGACCGCTGCCCAAAAACATCCGCAATTATAGATGCGTTACGTATTCTTAATTGACGGAAGAGGAGATGCACATAAAGAGGATATTTCCTCTTCCTATGCGTCGAAAAGAGTGGAAAGGGACTAAAATTAGGCCTCCGGCACCACACTCATTAGAAGAAACGCGGAATTGCTTCCACTTCACGCCTGTTTTCTGTGTGGTCGTGGTATTACACCGGGCGAGCCGTCTATTCTTGTGAAGATGTTAAAACGGGCTCTACCACTGTTTTGCATTATAGAGCCTTGCATGTAGAACCATATAAAATAAATGCTAAGTCATATTTAACATTTTGATATTAATTTTATAGCTAAAACACACGGCCGAATACTGTAACCAATCACTACGTAAGCTTACAGTTTGAGAGACGTCGAAATTCTAATGGAATTTTGAGTTTAATCGTCGCTTTATGGTTCCAATATTCGGCCGTAAGCTACAGAGGTAGATAGCTCTTTACTTATTGTTCAAACACAAAACAAATGAGTACCTTGTTAGAGTTAGGCAAAAACTACAAAGTTTAATTTATTACAATTAAACCAGTTTTTCTTCCATAAGCCTCTACATGAAACTTGACAATTAAATAGCTCATTTAAAATTCTAGCTAACATTTTCGCAATTCCCCACAGAATACGCACTCCGAGATAATAAATTATGTGTTAACGTTTAGTAAAAAAAACATAGAAACCAGTTTCCTACAAACATATTACAGTTAGAGTACATAAAACGACTTTTGTAATATATGTACACATTTTTTACAATGCAATAATAGTTACCAAATCTCCATAAAGTTTTTAATTTGAAACAATTTTATATAATACTAGCTGTTCCCGAGCGACATCATCTGCATAAAAATATAAAAATGTTATTGTTTACATGTGTCAAATTATCAATTGTAAATGTCAAAATGACTTGAATGATGACAAACCATGGTATCCTATCTTCCTTGATGTTGGCAGAAACTTATGGTCTCTTTCCCACATTAGGGTTTTTATCCAAAATATTTAGCCCTATGTTTAATGACATGAAAATATATAGCCTAAAGCGTTAAGTGTAGGGATTTTTATTAATATATTAATTATTCAAAAATATGCTGTAATTGCTGACATCTTAAGCAACAAAGAAGAGTGTGTTTACGCTTTATTATATAGTATAGAGTATATATAACATGTATTTCCATGATACGCCTATTTTATTCTATTTTATGATGGCGTATTTTAAAAACGACTTTTTACCTGAACAATTTAAATTAAATTATACAAACATATAAATTGTAGATTAAGTATTTTAATTGACTCAACGCAAAATCTTTTCAACCGGATTAAACAGAAGCTAAATTTGGTCTGGCCGACACATCCGAATCAAAACGCGAACGCATTTAAAAGTTCTTAAAATACGTAAACTCTCAGTTGAATGAGTGTCAACAGATAAGATAAATGAAGCAGGATGCTCTCTCAGACTATCGCGTCCGCTACATTTGGGCTTCAACTTTGGAGATATGAGTCATAAGGTCAGCTGATAGCGTGCCGGAATTGGAATAGCCTTAACCCAGGTCATTGTTTACGCAACTTTATGTCTAATAGTGCTTGAACGTCTTGTTGATATCTATTTATGTAAGGAGTCTTCTTGATGAAAAGTGAACATTTTAATATCTCTGCTTTTGCGATTTTCGTTTATTATGTTGACTTTGATATTAATTTCCACGAGTATTGTCTTGGAATATTTGTACACAATTTTACATTTCAGTTGTTATAAAGAGAATGATAGGGTGACAATATTATGTTTCAATTTGCAGGATTGTTTTTCTCGAATTCGAGGATAGATATTAGTGATTTGTATAAAATACAGTTTAAAAAGAATTGAATTATGAAAATAGTCATAAAATTTTGCCACATGTTTTTATTAATATTGTTTCCATTTCAACAATTTCCTATAAAAAAGGTTATTTGGGATATATCCTTACGACTTAGTCATGTGAATAAAAAGGGTTTTTCAAAGATTTCGACACAAAGAGCGGTCTCAGGAATACGCTATAAATGTTAAATTGGCATTTAGACCGTACTTTAGTTTTTCCAGTCCCTGCCTTTTACATGCGGTTTGATAAAATTGGTTAAATTTGTTGTTTTTGTTACAAAACGTATTTTCTAATAGACAAGTGAGGAATAATTTTCTAGAAGTTAGATGATAAACATAAAGAAAGCAAAATCTATGTAAAAAAAAATCCTATCAAATGCTTATATGATAAAACTTGATGAAAATATACAGACATTGTTTACATTAACTAAACTCATTGAATGAGCAATGTCCCCGAGCTCATTTGCCCATTCAATGTGTTTACGTGCGGTGAGGTTTCTCCGAAGCTATAATTATGATCGAGATTGACAGACATGATAAATTCAATTTTAATAACACTATACATATATTTACAATAAAACTAAATACTATTAGGTTTGTTTCCATCCCATACATACGTTTATTACTCGATTAAATGTAACTATATGTAAAAATAATAAAAGTTTTTCCATTTCTTAATAATAATATCATATAGTAACGGGAAAAAGTTTAACTGAAAAGAATAACATTTCGGATTATTAATTTTATTAATCATTACTAAGATTTTTAACTGCATTAACAGTCTCTGGCATCTTCGGAACACCTATACTAATATTGTTATGAAATTCTGTCTATTATCATTCTTCTGGTCGGCATTCGTAACACCTAACCGCAAGTTATAAACCACATTATATCTGCTGAGAATAGTTCTTAGTATATTTAAGGTCACTTTACATTTCAAAGTAATTCTAAATAAGTGAGTAAACAATTTATCTCCGTCATAGAGCAGGAAAATCCACCTTTTTATGAAAGAAACGTAGTATCTTTTATAATGTGCAATGTAAAAATGTTCTAGAATAGAGTTCTTCACTTTCCAGTTGTAAATATTTAAAGCAGTTGTTTGAATATTAGGGATGTTATATGTTGCCTAATATGTATATGAATAACGTCGCTATTAAATGCAAAGTTAGTAATTTAAAAATAACTTGCTAATCCTTGATCTTTTGACCCAAATACAGATTAAATGTAATGTCATGGATGGGACAAGAAAACTGTTACCTTAGTACATTGTACAAAAATAACTTGCAAATTTATCTAGAAGTATAAATTCGTTTCATTAATAATAAATCTTCGATAGTACATAAATATCGATCGCGATAAGAAAATGTGACGAAGCGCTTAGTATGAATAATTATGACCTAAAATAAACAGATGATTCGCGGTTACACAATACCTGACATGTAAGCAAATGACTCGTCGATCATTTTTAAATCAACATAAATCTCAACATCATTTTTATTTCAACAGAAAATATGACATGAAAATTTATCATGTATTTTCTATTCTACAGCTTCTTTTAAGTAAATCAATTGTTGTTTACATTGTATTATAATTGTGTCCTCAACCTGCGACATTACAAAAAATTGTTTTTCAAACAAAAATAATTAAAAAATAATTTTAACACAAAAACTCGAGTCATTAAGTCAATGTATATTACAAGATACGTTCGCGTGAGTTAACTTGTGTACTTGTAGAACAACTTTTTTAAATCCGTTTTTTAAATAACATTTAATGAATAAGTGTGTTATTAACTACTTGGTTTTTCAGTCTTCTTTATTATTTTTAATTATGTTTGAGACAAATCAGAACTTTTTAACCAAGTTACCCCCGAAGGCAATATGTCAATACCTATACTTGCTACTTTCCAGTTTATTAAGCTAATGGGATAAGGTCGTATTATATTAAGTATGTAATTATAACGTGGTGATATAAAAATGATAATTACGAGCTGTTGATGGTGATTAAAGATTTTATGACGCCCTAAGCGTAACCAACACATTTTAACGATGTTTTACTTCGTTCTAA